AGGTAGCAAATCACACTGCCGTGTGTGTACCTATGCAATAATCTTGCATGTTCTTCACATGTACCCCAAAACCTAAAATGCAAGAAAATAAAAATAAAAATAAAAAAGAACTAGAAAAGCAAGAACAAACCAAACTCCAAATTAGTAGAAGAAATAATAAAAACCAGAGTAGAGATAAATAAAATGATTACTAAAACACAATGCAAAAGAGTAACAAAATGAAAAATTAATATTTTTAAAAGATAAAAAAATGACAAACTTTAGCTAGACTGATTAGGAAAAAAGAAAGACTCAAGTAAATAAGAGACATAAAAGGAGACATTACAACTGACACCACAGTAATACAAAAGATCATTAGAGACTTTTGTACTATACGTCAATAAATTGAAAAACCTAGAAAAAAATGAATAAATTTCTATACATATAATTTACCATGATTGAGCCATGAAGAAGAAACCTGAACAGATTAGTAACAAGTAATAAGACAAAAGCAGTAATAAATGACACCCATCAAAGAAAAGCCCAGGACCCGATGGCTTCACTGTCAAATTTTAGCAAATATGTAAAAAACTAACACCAATTCTACTAAAATTATTCCCCCAAGTCGGACAGCTCATTTTATGAGGCCAGTATTACCCTGATAGCTATACCAGACAAAAATATAACAACAAAGAAAATGAGAGACCAATATTCCTAATAAACATAGATGCAAAAATATTCAACAAAATACTAGTAAACAGAATTTAAAAACACATTAAAAAGATCATTCAACATGATCAATTAATTGGGATTCATCTCAGAGATGCAAGGATGATTCAACATACACAAATCAGTACACATGACAAATCACATTAATAGTAACAAGGACAAAAGCCATATGAACATTTGAATAGATACCGTAAAGGCATTTGATAAAATGAAATATCCTTCATGATAAAAACTCTCAACAAACTGGTGACATAAGGAACATACCTAACAGCATTAAAAACCATATAAGATAAAACCACAACTAACATCATACTGAACATGGAAAAATTAAAAATTAAAAGTCCTTCCTTCCTTCCCTCTCTCCTTCCCTCCTTCCCTCCCTCTCTCTCTTTCTTTTTTTCTTTGAGACAGGGTCTCGCTCTGTTGCCCAGGCTGGAGTGCAATGGCGTGATTTCTGCTCACGGCAACCTCTAGCCTCCCAGGCTCAAGCAATTCTCGTGCCTAACCCTCTCAAGTAGCTGGGATTACAGGCACATGCCACTATACCCAGCTAAATTTTGTATTTTTAGTAGAGACGAGGTTTTACCATGTTAGCCAGGCTGGTCTCAAACTTGAACTCTTGATATTGTGATCCACCTGCCCTGGCTTCCCAAAGTGCTGGGATTACCAGCATTAGCCACTGTGCCCGGCCATAAACTAAAAGATGTGCAAAAAGACAACAATGTCCACTTTCATCACTTCTATTCAACATAAAACTAGAAGTCCCACCCAGCGCAATTCATCAAGAGAAAGAAAAGGCATCCAAAGAGGAAAGAAAGAAGTCAAATCATCCTTGTTTGCAGATGACATGTTTTATATTTAGAAAAACCTAAAGATTCCACCAAAAAATTGTTGGAACTGATAAAGGAATTTGGTAAAGTTACAGGACACAAAATCAAAATACAAAAATCAGTAGTATTTTTATATGCCAGCAGTAAACAATCTGAAAAAGAGATCAAGGAAGTAATCCCGTTTACAATAACTACAAAAAAAATTAGAAATAAATTTAACCAAAGAAGTGAAAGATCTCTAAAATGAAAACTATGAAACATTAATGAAAGAAATTGAAGAGGGTGGAAAAAAATGGTAAAAAATTCCATGTTCATGGATTGGAAGATTTATTTAATATTGTCAAAATGACCATACTACCCAAGTGATCCACAGATTCAATGCAATTCTTATCAAAATACCAATGAAATTTTTTCACAAAAATGGAAAAAAATGCTAAAATTCATGTGGAACCACACACACACACACACACACACACACACACACACACACACCCAAAAAGTCAAAGCAGTCCTCAGCAAAAAAATAAAAGCTGGAGGCATCACACTACCTACTTTCAAAATATACCACAAAGCTATAGTAACCAAAACAGCATGGTATTGACATAAAAACAAAAACATAGACCAATGGAACCGAATAGAGAACCCAGAAATAAACCTATGCATTTACAGCTAACTCACTTTGGACAAAGGCATCAATAACTTACATTGGGGAAAGAGCAGGCTCTTTAACAAATACTGCTGAGAAAACTGGTTATCTGTATGCAGAAGAATGAGACCAGACCCCTAATACTACATAAAATTCAAATGTATTAAAGACTTAATGTAAGACCTGAAACTACTAGAAGAAAACACCAGGAAAATGCTTCAAGACACTGGCGTGGGCAAATATTTTTGGGATAAAACCTCAAAAGCACAGGCAACCAAAGTAAAAATTGACAAATGGGATTACATCAAGCTAAGAACTTCTGCACAACAAAGGAAACAATCAACAGCCACAATGCAAAAGAGTTTGGAGGTTCCTCAAAAAATTAAAAATAGAACTACCATATGACTCAGCAATCCTACTGCTGGGTATATAGCCAAAAGAAAGAAAATCAATATATCAAAGAGATGTCTGCATGTTCATGTTTATTGCAGCACTATTCACAATAGCCAAGAAACGGAATTAACCTGTGTCCATCAACAGATGAGTGGAAGAAAATGTGCTATATATACACAAGGAAATATTATTCAGCCATAACAATAATGACAATGGCTGAATAATGAATAAAATCCTGTCAATTGCAGCAACATGGATAGAATTGGAGGATATTAAGTGCGATAAGCCAGGCACAGAAAGACAAATACCATCAAGATAAATCATGCTCTCAGTCACATGGAAGCTTTAAAAATTGATCTCATGGAGGTGGTAAATACAATGGCGGTTGCCAAAGGCTGGAAGGGGTAGTAGGCAGGGAGGAATGAAGAGGGGTTGATTAATGAGTACAAAAATACAGTTAGATAAAACGAGTAAGTTCTAATATTCAGTTGCGCAACAGGGTAACTATAGTTAACAATAATAATTTATTATATATTTCAAAAGACCTAGAAGACCTGCAATGTTCTCAACACAAAGAAATGGTAATGTTTCAGGTAATAGATATCCCAATTACCCTGATGTGATTATTACACATTGTATGCTAATATCAGAATATCACGTGTATCCCATAAATATGTACAACTATTATGTACCAATAAGAAAATAAAAATTAAAAAAATAAAGTATATGAGAAGATATGCATAGGTTATATGCAAATACTACACAATTTTATGTGAGGGACTTGGAAATCTGTGAATTTTGGTATCCATAGGGGGTCCTGGAACCATTCTACCATGAATACTGAGAGATGAGTGTCTCTCTCAGTGAGTTTCGTGAGTTTCATATCGCACAGCAGAGGACCATGCTGAATATCATTCCAGTAAGAGTCCTCGGGTGTTGCTTTTAAGTTCAACTACCAATAGCAAATTATAGAAGGGTTACCACTCTGTTTTATTTATTTATTTTTACAACATCAGTTGATTGGTAGGTAGACATTTAGATAAGTTGGGTGAAGGTTTATAGAAAGATACAGGACTTTAAGATAAATCAGACAAGCAATTTCAGTATATAGAAAATTTAATTTGAAATCACTTAAAATATTTCAGTATTAAGATGTTTTAATTCAGTGTCTCGGCACGAGACATTTAAAAGCATGTTTGGGTCTGATCTCAAATCAGTTCAGGGGAACAGAAATAACTGAAAATGCATGTGTATGTGTGTGTGTGTGTGTGTATATATATGCATATATATATACATATATATGCATGTATATATATATAAGTATATACATATATAAGTATATATGTATATATATGCATATATATACACACACATATCTATATATACATACATGTATATATTCAAATTATATATGTATAAAGATATTTGTATATTCAAGATATATAGGGATTATATATCTATATATAGATATACTATATATGTGTCTATTTACACAGGTATATATTTATCTGTGTGTATACATATGTGTATGTATATATATATATACACACACACACACATACACATATGTATACACACACACATAAAATCTACTGTCGCTCAGTGGTGGAATTCTCTAATTTTACACATACACATATTTTGGAAAGCTTACCCCCAAAAAGGGCACACTAATCATACATGGAACAGAACCCTTCTCTTCCACTTTAAATTTAAAAAAAAATGTACTTATTTCTATTCTTCCACTTTTAAATATTTTAGTCTTCTTTAAAGTTGCTAATTCAGATAGGAAATTAAACTCACTTTGTGAAATCAGAGACGCTTCTGAGTTTGGAAGGAACCTGAGTACGTACTTGGGCCTGTTTCCTGTCTTCGGGCAGAGAGATAAACTAAAGCTAACAGAGCTGGACTGTCTGTTCTTTGCCTAAAAGGTCACATTTCTCAACTGCTGGGGTACAAACATATGCTTCATGAAGTGATTTTTGTAAAATAATTTTTCTTTAGCTATAGACACGGTAAAGTAGCCATGTATAACTAAGTTTTTAGCTTGCCTCAAATCTGACCTTTCTTTTTTTTTTTTTTTTTTTAGAGTGTAAATCTGACCTTTCTTCTTCTAGAAAAGTTTCCCCCAAAATCAGTAGCAAGTACGGCAGAAAGGGAAATGTGGTTCTTCATGAAAGAGACACTATTTCAAGCAGTTATATCTTTTTAGCAAAATGTTTTGGAGTTTTTTAGGAGCGTGACGCTTTTAGTGCACACTGAAAGACTTGTGCTTTCAGATGTACAGAAGTTCACTTGGGGGTTTCCAAAGCCTCCCATATTTTCACTTATATGTGGCCATATAAAATGTAATTTTTAAAAAACTGAAAAATATGCCAATGTCTATCCTAAGTTTGGGTTTACTGACTTAAAATGAAGCATTAAGACTAAAAATACCTTGAAAATTTTATTTTCAGGAGATCCGCACACACGCAAAGTTTTTGTTCTATGTGTATAAAAGTATTTTTGTTTCCTTAACTGGTTTCTGTTGCCTGTACACAACTAGGAAAAGAGGCTTTTCTTTGTTTTATTTTGGTTGGCTAAGGATGCTAACGGTTAAATTATGAAGAACTTCGTTTGACTTATTTTAAGTGGTGAAAACTGTAGTTCTTAACCTATGAAGAATTCTCTAACTGAATATATAAGAAAAATACAAAAAATTAGGAAAACATGTAAACGTAAGTTATGAGGTATTTCAAAGATACAGTGCCAGTAAAAATTCTCTCCCACAATTTTTCAACTGCCAGATCTTTTGCTTTAGTCATTCTGTTCTTATATTTAGAGAAACAGAAGAGTTTAAGATAAAAGCCTCTTTGAGGATGTGAGGGCTGCAGTTATTTAGAGCAGGATCAGAAAAGCAAAGTAATAAAGCAGTATTTACATGTTTTTGCATAAGGCCAAAAATATTTCCTTAAAAAGTTTTTTAAAGTTTTTTAGTCCTATAATAGGGCACATGATTGTCTGTGTGACTTGTCTTTCCAGAGGAAGACTTTTTTATTTTTAAATTCTAGGAAAGCATGACTTATTCAAATTAGATTTTCCATGCTATATTTAGTTTTACAGATGTGTTTAGTTCTAAAACTGTGGTTTACTGTATTTTGGGGAGAGCACGTATATAAAAAAACTCAGGAAACCCTTACACCCAACTTAGACACAGTCAGTTTTAACACTCCGATGTAATCTCTCAATTCTTATAGCTTATTGCTTCCATTAAGAAGAAATCTCGGAATTCTCTGCATCTAATTTTCAAAGGCTACAGTCTGAGAAACTGACCCACTATCGCTTTTTCTAAACAGCCAAGTTCTCACAGCTTTTTGATCTTTTTCTGGGAGTGAAATGGGTTGTTCCTCTTATATAACAAGAATCAGGAATTTCCAGCAAACAGATTTCATGATGTATAAAGCATATGCTAGAAACACGCTGATCACACATGAAATATGCTCTCAGTCAACACACATAGGCATTCACTCAAGGGGTAAACCAGTAATGACCCAGACATACATACTCATGCAAATATACAATTGACAGCAAATTATTTTAGACCCTAATGTCATTTCAGTATTAAAAATGAGCTGGGAGACAGCTCCTGTGACATTTGGTATGAAAGCTTTAGATTACAATTTTCATGTAGAAGTAGCTTCATATCACATCTCGTGAGTTTCGTATTGCACAGCAGAGGACCATGCTGAATATCATGCCACAGATCTGAAACAGAAGGAACCACGCATCAGCCACTTTCAAATGGGTACTGATTGGTAAAAAGTTCTGCAGACTCCCAGGGTGTCTAACTCAAGTTAACAAATGATTATAACCGTTAATTACCAGTTGCAAATGACATTTTAGTACATTACTTAAGGTTGACTATGGGGCAAAGATGTCCAGATTAACTGTTTAAATATGTTTTATTATTGGTAACAAATAGCAAGGCTCTGCTTTAAGAACCTACCCTGCTTCAGAATTATAGAACAGTTTTGAATAATTGTGAAAGCCAGATGCAACACTGGCTTTGAAATTTTATATTTCAAGTTAATCACAGATATAACCACTCATTTAGATATGCTTGTGGTCTAAAGAATTTTCTATTGTTGGAAAAGCTCTGAATTTTTGCAACAGTAACCATATATCAAAAAATGGAGTATTGGCTGGGTGCAGTAGCTCATGCCTGTAACCCCAACACTTTGGGAGGTTGTGGTGGGAGGATCGCTTGAGCTCAGAAGTTCTAGACCAGCCTGGGCAACATGGTGAAACCCTGTCACTACAAAACACACGAAAATTAGCTGATTGTGGTGGTGTGTCCCTACAGTCTCAGCTACTTGGCAAGCGGAGGTGGGAGGCTCGCTTGAGCCCAGGAGGTCGAGGCTGCAGAGAGTTGTGATCACACCACTTTACTCCTGGGTGACAGAGACCCTGTCTCAAAAAAAAAGAAAAAAAAAGTGGAGCATCTCTTCATTCTCAGTCCATTTTTAAGTGCAAACGATGCTTCACTGTTTAATTCAATAGTTTTACCAAAGCACAAACTGGAGTGTCTATAGTATATTATTATTGACTTTTACCTTTTGGATAGTTCTCAGAGAAGTTAAATACTTGAGTGAAATCAATATCCATTTCCATGGTTTCAAGAGAAGAATGCCAAGGATTCTTCTTGTCTGCAATTACTTTCCCCTACAGTTTTGTGGAGCCCATGGAACCCTATTTGTGGGTATCATTCTATAAACTACTGTCAATGTTTATTTTTTAAAAATGGGTATTATAACTTTCTGTTTCTCTATTCAATTCCATCCTAAGTCAGACTAGGATGTGTAAATGGTAAATTCAACAAGATATGAATGATCAGTTGTTTTGAAAAAGGAGGGGAGAAGCAGGTAAGGGCATGGCCAGGAACAGGATTTTGAGCTTCTGGATGACAAGACTCAGTAGTAGTGTGTGGCAGGGGAGACACCCAATGGATATTTGGCTAACTGATTACACTGTGCAACTCTCACTTCACAGAGAAAGGAACTAGCGAAGAAACCGGGGGGTGCCAATTCAAGAGAAGCCCACTGAGGGCATTTCCCCTTTACCATGGTCATAAGGTTGGATGCAATCCCCACCCCATCCTGGCTTCAAAGAGACTTCTTCAGTCTCAGCCTACTCCTGACACAGTCAGGGATGAATGCTTCTAGGCTGCTCATTTGCTGAGATTGTAGAACTACTAGAAAGGTCTACTCCCTATCTCCATTATGTAGCACGTGCTCAGACCTCCTGTCTCAGAATTGTCCTTGGGGGGCGGAGGGAGGGAGGCTGCAGAATTGCAACCAGGCTAGCCCCAGAGCAGGTGAGGAGGGCCTGAGAGATGTTCCTTGATTTGGGGGGCCTCAGAAGAGTATTTCCAGCCACTTCCCCACCCCTCTGTGCTCTAAATACAGAAAAGGGGAAAGGTGCTTGTGTGTCCTCTGATAACTGCAAATTCATCAATGTTCTCACAATTCCCAGAGCCCACCCTTTCAAAGTAGCATACAAAGACCTTCATGATGTGGGCCCAGTACTCTCTCCATGACCCTCTCTTGCGACTCCTGCGGTTCCTGTCCACTGCTACCCATTTTCCCGCACACTTGTAGTTTAGAAGTACAGCGCCACCCCGTGGTGGCTTGGATGCACTAGGCTTCGTACTTTCTCCTGTGCCAGTGCCTTCGCCCGGTAGATGATGCAGAGAGCTGGCATTTGTTGAGTGCTGTATGCCCCAGACACGTTACCTGTATTAATTTGTAATACCACTTTATATGTAGTATCCAAGTGAATTTTCACAGCAATCTTACGAGGCTTACATATGAAATTTCCCATCTAGCAGATGAGGAAATTGAAGCATAGAGAATTAAGAAACTTTCTTATGATCCCAGCACGGGCAAGTGGTGTAGCCTAGAGTTAAATCGAAATCATGTGATGTGGGCCGGGCGCGGTGGCTCACGCCTGTAATCCCAGCACTTTGGGAGGCCGAGGCGGGTGGATCACGAGGTCAAGAGATCGAGACCATCCTGGTCAACACGGTGAAACCCTGTCTCTACTAAAAATACAAAAATTAGCTGGGCATGGTGGCACACACCTGTAGTCCCAGCTACTTAGGAGGCTGAGGCAAGAGAATTGCTTGAACCCGGGAGGCGGAGGTTTCAGTGAGCCGAGATCGTGCCATTGCACTCCAGCCTGGGTAACGAGAGTGAAACTCCGTCTCAAAAAAATAAAATAAAATAAAATAAAATAAAATAAAATAAAATAAAGAAATCATGTGATGCTAGAGCTTGTCTTATTAATCTCCATGCTGTGCTGCCTCTTCAAATTATAGGTGAGAGAAATTAACCTGATATTCTGAATTTGTAACAGCAGAAAGAGACCCAGAGTTGAAAATCATTTATCTAGGTTATGAATAGTAACTTTAAAATGGCAAGTTAATATAATGATACACTCAAGGTCATAATGAGTTAAAGTTGAATTTTGTGTTATATTTTAGAGGACAAACTATTAATGTATTTAATGAGCTTTGTTCTTAGAAGATATAATACATTGTGAACAAAGATCTTTTTTCTTTATGAGAACTCCCTCTTAAGACACTATCATATCATACTTGAAGAGAAATAGGATGCAAAGTTTCAAGGCTTTTTAGAGGGGAAAAAAAGGTAAGTTCTAGAAATTTCTCACCGTGAGACCTGCAATTCCAATGCCGACAATTCCAATGAGCTGGAGCTTAACACTGATTACGGTCTCAATTTCATCGATGCAATTCTGTTTTGGAGAAAAAAAGTCAGGAATAAAAACTGATTGTATGTGTCAATCATGACCCTGATCCAATCCCTTCCATCTCTACAGTTCATCCTGTGAGAGTCAGTCCACACCAGCTTCTACTCATGTTTCAACAATTCATCTTTGGTAACACCATCCTGACAACCTTACAGCAAAAATGCAGTTTGGGGAAAAAAAACAGAAGCTTCTCCTTTGGGTGAGATTTTCATGTTTAGGCCAGTGGCTTCTTCAGAGCCCTGGAATATAACTGGAGGAAGCTATTTGTCTGGTTCTGAGGAATCTAAAAACTTGGAGCCACTTCTTACTTGTAGCAAGTAAGTAAAATACCCTTAAAACAGTAACTCCTTATTTTCATATTGCCATTTACAGTTTAAAACACTTTGTATGTCTTTGATTCAATTTATTACACAATGTAAGCATTACCTATTAAGGAACTAAAGTCTTTACCAGTTCATGTGAAACAAAAGAAAGCCCAGACTTAGAAAAGCCAAGACTTGGGAGTTAGAGGAACATTCTCTTCTGTGGTGGCTGGGCTGGGCTGGGTGGGTTTCTGTGCCCATCAGAGACCTGTGTAGCATAGATTCAAAGGGCCTTCACAGACAGCAGGAAACTTAGACAGAAAGCAGAACAGATCACCTATAACCATTATTAGTTTCCCCAACTTCAAACACTCCTATCTGGAGTGCTCTTAAGTAGAGAGATGCTCTCAATCCAACTGTATCCTCAGGCTGTTCAGATCCATTCACTTGTCACTGGTGGGTTCCTTCTGATACCACCTGAACTATGTGAAACCCTCACTGCTCTCTTCACATTCCCTATCATACTCTATTCATTCAACAAACATTTCCTGAGCATCTACCTTGCATCAGTCACTGGAAGAGGGGTGGTGGATGCAGAGACAACAGGATATGGTTTCTCTTGCTGGGGAATTCAGTTTAGAGAAGGACACAGATCCACAAGAGATACCTATAATACATTCTGACAAAAGTTTGAAAACTACTGTTCTACAGAGTGACTCCCTTACTTGGTGGAAAAAATGAGAGTGAATTCTTTAGCAATTCTTTCACGTTTCCTCTCCTCCTATACACTTAGATGCTCCCTTCCTTCAGTGCCAGGCAGTGGTGTAGGTAGCAAGCACACTTCCAACTCCTTTTTCTCTAATCAGAGCCAAAGAGGTGCCCTTCTCTGTTGAAAGTTAACCTCATATCCTGCTTCGGGTCTCACCCCCTCCCAGCTCCTCGGGAAGCCTGTGCTGCCACTTACTGTTTTCCTTCCTATACATCCAGCCTCTCCTTCTCCATTGACATTTCCACTTATCCTATCACACGCTCAAGTTCTTCAGTCAGAACAAGGCAGACAAGACTCAAGCCCGTGCTCCTCTAGCTTTGCCATCAGGCCCTCCTTCCCTTCTTCATTGCCAGCTTCTTTTTGTGAAAAACAAATGAATAAAAGATAGATTGGCTTTAGTTACAAAAGGAATAAATGCTTCTTGCAGAAATCTGGAAAAGAGTTATTTATTTATTTATTTTTTTAAAGAAACATCTGTACTCTTACCACAAAAGATAATAAATCTGTTGGTGATACACACACACACACACACACACACACACACACCCCTACACCCTTAGTTCATTCTTCATATTCAACTGTGTGCTTTCTAAACTCAACATTAGAACTTCAAAAGTGCCTTGTTTCACTAAAAATTTCTTTGAAATCATGATTTTTTTTCTTTCTTTTGTTTTGGAGACAGAGTCTTGTTCTGTCACCCAGGCTGGAGTGCAGTGGTGCAATCTTGGCTCACTACAACATCCACCTCCTGGGTTCAAGTGATTCTCCTGCCTCAGCCTCTGGAGTAGCTGACATTACAGATGCACACCACCACATCAGGCTGATTTTTGTATTTTTAGTAGAGATGAGGTTTCATCATGTTGCACAGGGTAGTCCTGAGCTCCAGCGATCCGCCTGCCTCCACCTCCCAAAGATTATAAGCAAAATCACGATTCTCAATGGTGGTAAAACATTTCATCTTATGAATATACTACATTTTATCTAAATAATCCCCTGATTATTTTGCAATGTAGGCATTACCTATTAAGAAACTAAAAAGTCTTTACAGGCTGCATATGAAGGGCTTGTCCAGTGCGTTGTTATGAATAACATTGCAGTGAACATGGTTTGCACAAAAATGTCTGTCCCCATTTCTGATTCCTTTTCCTTAGAATAAACTGCGAGAAGTTGAATTTCTGGACTGAAGGGCAAAAACATAGTTACTCCTCTAGTCTTACAGTCAGTCATACTGACCTTGAAAACTATTTACCAATTTCTCTGAAAATGCTCATCACATCACGCTTACCAAAACTGGGTATTATTATTAAGCCAGGGTGGGGCGGGGGAGGAACTTAGTCAGTTTCACAGGTTAAACAACAGCATTTCTTCATTTTAATTTGCTATTAGTTTTAAATATATTACTTTTAATTTCACATATTTTCTATATGTTTAATGGTAATTTGGACTTTGCCTTTTATAAACTTTCTTTTTGTGTCCTTGGCTCAAATCCAAACTTCTCGAAAGGATGCCCTCTCTCCTCACATCTCACTCTCCAAAATCTGGGCTCTGTCCTCACTCCATCCCTTACACCACTTCACCAGCTGGTTCCTTAACATGCTAAATCCTGCCAGCTTCTCAGCAGTTATCTTAGCGGACTTATTTGGGCTTTTAGTTCCCCACACAAACCGTGGAATTTCTGCCTGTTGTTTACGCCCGTCTCTCTGCAGGCAGGAGCCTCCCCCTCCCGCTTCCTGCCCAATGCTTGCATAATTAGTTTCCATTCTTGAAGATTTAGCTGAGACATCATTACCTCCAGCCAGCCTTCCCCATCCCCCAGCCTCTGGCCTCTCCTGAGTGCCTTTCCTTCTGTGCTTTTGGAGTACCAGGCACGTTCTGTGCATGTCTCAATCACTGCACTGTATCGACTTCATGTTCAGCCCTCCTATTAGACCGCAATGCAAGCTCCTTGGGAGTAGGAACTTTTTCTCCTTCGCCTTTGCATCCACAGTGCTTAGCATAAGGTGGGCAGCTTTTCAATACTGGATAGCCGTCAACAACAGCACCTGGACCCGGTGACCATTCCCTCCCCTTCCCGCGGTGTCTCCTCACTTGTGTCTGGCCGCCCCTTCCAGTTTCCTTCTTTGGCACCTCTTCTTTTGTCCACCCTTAAATGTGGTTGTTCCCCGGGGCTCTATCCTCATCCCTCTTTTCTTCCAAGTCTAATGGATCAAATCTGTACCTATTGCTTTAAGTTTTCCATCAAGTGCCGACGCTCAGACCTCTCTCCGGAGCCACCACCAGACTTTCCAACTGCCTACTGGATATTTTTGCCTACTGAGTATTTCCACTTGGAAGTGCCGCTGGCCTCTCAAAATCAGCATGTTAAACATGAAGCTCATTTTCTTTTCTCCACAACCGGCTCTTTTCCTCTCTCCCTCAGCTCCGTAAATGGCTCTATGTAGGTGGTGAAGCCACAAAGCCAGTAGTGGGTTCTCTTCTCTTCCCTGATTTGTAACTGCTCGCCACTCCTGTAGATGTCACTTTCTAAAAGGTCCTCTTTAACATCTCCTGCTGACAAGGACAGCAGCCTTCCCAATGGGTCTCTAAGCTCAACGCTGTTCATTTTCCATAAATCCTTGATGCTGCCGCTAAAGCAGATTCGGTAAAATGCAGATCCCATCCCAGGTTCCACTTTCAATGGCTCCCCAAGCTAGCAGCATGAAGGCCAGACTCTCAGCCTCCCAAGAGTGCCCACGGCCCTTGGAGTAGGGGTCCCTCCTTTCTGAAGTACCCATTTCCCACAGGCAACCTGGGCTCTCAGCCACTTCGGCTGCTGGCACTTGCCTGAAGACACAGCTACCTTCTCTCTCCTCCACGCCTTTGCCCTGTGTCTCTGCCTGAAACTTGCCAGTCTTTTTTTGTTTGCTTACTGAACTCCTAGTCATCCTTCAAAATTTGTCCTAAGAATCACATCAGGGAAGCCTCCTGCGGACCCTGGAATCCTAAGCCAGGTTCGTCTACTGTGCTCCCTGCTCTGCAGCCTTAACTCAGCCCGCGTGCTGTCCGTGGCTCCTGTGACCGTCTCCCCGACGTGAGCACTTTGAGGGCAGTGCTGCATCTTGTTCATTTTATCCAACTCAGAAGGACCCAACCAATGTTCAGTGGCCAATTTGGGACATGAGCTGGAGCTAAAATCTCATCCACTCCATTCCTAGCCGAGGGTCTAAGAACATTTATATTACTGTCTCCACAGTCTCATGGTTCCCTCTCTCTTTCCCACATTGTATTTTTCCCCAGTTACTTTGCTGAAACTATGTGACAAAAGTCATGAATGATATTCTAGCCAACAAATCCAACAAACTATTTTTGGTCTTTACTTGTCTCTTCCCAACATTTGACTTTACGGGTGAACCGTCTCCGCCTTGGCTTCCCAAATAGACTGACTCCTCCTTCCCAGTCTCTTGTGCTGGCTTCTGGGCCTCAACCTGCCCCTGAAGTGATGGAGCCCCTCCTCCTTCCTTGTTCTGTTCACTCTCCCTGGTGCTCTTGTTCACTCCGAGGGCTTTGGCTGCGGCCAACCTGCCCAGTTTCCTACCCATGTCTTCATCTCAGCCTACCTGTAAGTCGACGGGCACCTAAAACACAAACTTGAGCAAAACCGAAGTCGTCTTCTGTCTCCAGGATCTGCCCCTTTCCCTATAGTCAGGGAGTGGAGCCTCTACCCATCCAGCCACCCAAGCAGAAGTCTGGAGATATAAGCCTCCTTCCTTCTACTCACTCACCACTTCCACCCACTAAGTCACCCAGGCCTGTGGATTTTGCCTCCTGAATGTCTCTTGATGTTCCATCCCTACTGTTTGTGACATCCTCTCTTATCAGGGTGACGGTGCCACCTAAGTGGTCTTCCTCCATTACTCTCCAAACCTATTCCTTCACACCCCAGCAGCCCGAAAATACTTTCTATGACTCAAAGCGGATTTTGCTCATTCTCTGCTAAAATTAATGGCTCCCTCAAACTTCCAGGTGTAAAATCCCACCTTTGCTTCTCTCACCATGTTGCCCACAGCTCTCCATGGGCTCCCTCTTTGGCTGCAGTCCTGGAGTTTTTCACGCAGCCGTGACTGTGTTCCTGCTGCTTTCTGGGCCTGGAGTGACCTTCCTTTGTGAGAACTCAGCTCAGGGACCTGCTCCTCGATGAACCTTTCCTAAATCTACTGCTTTAGGGCACCCTGTTCAGACTTCTTACACAGTACCATTGCCCTTAACTAAGTCTGTGAGGCTGCTGAGCAAGAGACCATGTCTTTTTCATCTCAGAGTTCCCAGAAGCTGGTATAGTGTCTGACACACAGCACTTAATAAAGGAAGCATTTGTCAGTGCTGTGACTCCCATGGAGAGGTGTGGGGCAACATTCTTGGGCACAAACTTCAGCCCTGGTGAGCTTAATTAATACCATAAGCAGGTGGCATCAACACGGGAATTTGGCATATTTTTTCCTAGGGCACCAGGGGACCGTGACTCTGGGTTGCTTCACTTATTTCATGTGGAATAAGGCCAAGGCACAGAAGCCACTGGGAGACGGCCTCCCAGAATCTTTGAGGTAGGACCTGAGCCTCTGACCCTACCCTGAAGGCAAAACCCACCTCACACTACAGGTACAGTAGGAACCTTGGTAGAAACTTACCTTGTGTCCTAGAAGCTCCTTTGGGCACGTGGGTTGGACCTGTTCGGAGCTCTCTTTTCCACAGCACTGAAACTAGAGAGTCAGAAAAGAGACTTCAGGACCAGGAGGGAGGAGCAGCAGCTACAAGTCTGGGCACCCTGCTAAGGACTGGGGTGCCCAGGCGGCAGAGAGCAGCTCCGAGGCTCCGTCACTGCAACCCAGACTGCTATTTCTGGAAGGACAGCGAAGAATCACGTAATCATGCTGGCAAAATAAGAAAACTGACTTCGCTAAAGCCATGTGAGTTTATGATGGGAAGTGACTCAAGGCAACCCAAACAAGGCAAGAAGCTAATTAACGGTGTCTGTGTAAATTGCTGCTTTTTAGAAAGGGGCTGGGGCTTTAGATTCCTTCTTTCAGACTGGGAGTCATTTAACCTGCTGAGGACCTGAAGTTTTATGAGCTTCAGGAAAAACTCATTAGCTGGGAATAGTCTGGAAAGGAGAGGAGAAGTGGCTGCAGGAAATTCGAGGTGGCCAAAAGACCAGACTTGAAGATTGGTCAGCAAAGAGGTGTCCTGCCTTAGGCTAGCTGGGCCTTTAAGACAAAAGAACCCATGTGTTGCTTCAGGTCCTGCGGGCAGCTGAGGTGAAACTGTATAAATGTATAATGGAGGCCGCTTTCCAAGACATACCTGTTCTAGACAAGAACTAGGTACCTGAAAACACCTGGCCCAGGAATTCAGCCACTTCTCCACATCACAGTGTCTAAAAAATCAGAATGACTCTGGCCTGCCCCATCTCTTCGGTAAGCCTTCCGTGATTAACTGCATGGACAGCCCAGTTCCACTGTATGTTCCAGAAGGGAGTGTAGCCATCTCCCGTGACCCTTCATTTCACAAATGAGGAAGCTGAGTTGGTATCAGGGAGGCCAAGTAACTTGCTCAAGGTCATGGGGCTGTTAGGTGGCAGAGCTGCAGCTGGAAATGAGCTTTTCTGACTGAAAGGTCACACTTGTTTCTGTTACACCACCAAGTTACCCTCTGACACAGCCTGCTATGCATCTGGGCTCCTTTCTCCCTGCATGGTCTGTGCTTTTTTGTCTCTTTGGGGGGAATGTGTCTTTTGGATTCATGCACTTGTGTCTCCTGTGAATTCTGTGTGACAGACATCTTTCCCTTCTAGGGTTCCACGTATGCAGACTGTGGAGCTTGAAAGGGCTAAAATAGGTGCTGCTACTTGGCTTTACTGAAATTATTTTTATCTTTAATCCTGGTGACTGGTGAGAACATGGCTCACACGTGATCTTTAGAAGCTGCGGTTTGAAGGAAGAAGTTAAGTTACTCACTGTTGAGTGGAAGGTGATGAGCGTCCCATTGCCTTTTGCCCTGTCTTTAAGGTAATCGTTATAAGCCTCTTCATACATGGTCTGAACATGTCGGATAGCCTGAAAAAAATACCAGGAAAAATGAGGGACTGCTGAGTGGGAAGATTCGCACATTCTCCTTTCATTGAGCAAAATCCCCTCTTCCACACCTTTCAAAAATACTGACTTTCTCCTAAGAATGACACGATGGACTTTGGCGACTCGGGGGAAAGGGTGGGGGGCGGTGAGGGATAAAACACCACACACTGGGTACAGCGTACACTGCTCGGGTGATGAGTGCGCCAAAATCTCAGAAATCACCACTAAAGGACTTACTCATGTAACCAAACACCACCTGTTTCCCAAAAACCTGTTGAAATAAAAAAAAAAATTCTGCTTTTCCATACATATTTTAGTATAATTCTGCACATATGGAGAAGATTAGTTTCTGGAGCTTCTAAGATGTTTGAGGATGGAAGGATAGACTAACCAGAACAGTTTTCACGGCCTAGAAAGACTTCTGCAAGTTAAAGTTCCCAAACCCAATTGGGCTTCAGCACTGACTGGGCCCCAGATTCCTGGGCTCCACCCAGGTGAATCGGATACATAGCTAGGATCGGGACATGTACATTCCTGGTACCCCACTGGTTGAAAGCATTCAAGTCTTTTTATGACATGGTTTAAAAGATATTCATCACCAAAGGAAAACTTCATTCAAACATCATATAAAGCTTAGAGAATGCTTCTTCTAGTATAAAAGCTTGTGGCCTCACATCCACAGAAATCTCAAATATTTCTAAGATTCCGTTATACTTCTGTATGTAGCTGAATTTAGACTAACCTATGACCACAGCCAGCTACCTTAGAAAAATTTGGAAGGTGGTGGCACTTACGATTCTACATATTTACTGTTTTTATAGTCTGAAGTAAGTTCATAAACACAATATTAATGACACATGAGTTAATGTGAAATACAGCAAACTTTTAAGTTTCCATTCTTCCTCCTTTTCCATTCCATTCTCTTCTATCCCACAGTGTGTTTTACCTTTCTAGAAAGGCTACTTCCTCTGTGTGTCCTCCTGAGAAGCTATTCCGGCCACCTAGAGCTTCACTACCCCACAGCAGGGCATGCTCTAGTCTTTAAGAATGAAATGACCCCATCCAGCCCAATTCTTAAGGACAAATGACACGCTGACAGGGGATGAGAAGCTAGATGATTTCTCTATCCCTCTTTCTCAAGTCTTTACTCTAACCCTTACTTACCCCATTTCACACTGGGGAAGAATCTTAAACTAGAGATCCTTTTTGGGGGGATTTATTAGAGGCCATTTCATAAGTCTAATGAAAGATATGAGCTATCTCCCCAGAAAAATGTGAGCCTGCATATGCCTGCACACTGACACACACATATGTTCAGTTCTGCACACCACTTCTAAGTTAAAAATTTCTGTTTAAACTATAATATTGGAGATTATTTGGTTTCTTAATAATATTGTGGGTAAACAACATTCTAACACTTTTAACCATCATAGAAAAACATTATAAGTAAATTTTACTTACTACCCCTTTGCCTATAAAAGCAAATACTCCAGTGGTTACTTCAGCAGCAAATATCACCAGAAGGCAGGTAAAAAACTGTAGAGGAGAGAAAATACTAATTTCATTAATTTAATACTTTTTCAATATATTTATTTTGCACCTTAGTTTCCTTATGTAACGGATGAGTTGCTTTCATGTAGTTTGTTTATTCATTAGTTAATTCATTCAGCAATTGTTTATTGGGCATCTATTCTGCACTGGGTACTGTCCTTGGTGCTGAGTATACAGTGGTGAATAAGATAAAATCCCAGTGTCTCTGCTATCACTGACCTTGGATCGTACGGGAGAATATACGATAACTGAGTAAAGAAATTAAAAAGGAAATAAGATAAGTTCAGTTAGTGATACAAAAATCCCACCGCATAGAACAGTGCCAGGCATCTATGTGCTCAGTAAATACCTGACGGACACAAAAGACTCATAAATATGATACAAGGTCAGGAGAGAGAGCGAGCCACTGATGCAGGCTGGGCTTGGGTAAGGGGATGACTCGAGACTCTGTGGTCTCGAAAGGCTTCTCTGTGGAGATGGGAGTGGAGGTGAAATTCTGGATGGATTTCTCTTCTGGTCTATGGATTTTCTCTGATCAAACTAAGTTCAGTGATAAGACAGAAATAGCGCAACAGTTGGAGAAAGAGAAAGAGTGAATGGCTAAAGAAGCAAGTTAGACATTTCACACAGCAAGAGGTCAGAGGCTGCAGCCAGAGTTAATCCAGAGATCACAGTGAGTAATGAGAGATGAGAGGCTGCCTACTAAAACTGCTGTTTCTGACTCCCTGTGGAGAAATATCAACCGTTTCTCTCCTCCTGCCCCTCTTCTTCCTTCCTGTTTCTCTCAGGCTACACTGGCATTGAATGTATAGCACTTAATTGAAATTATTTGATTTTTTAAAAATAGAGGCTGCTTGTTAGAATAAGCCACAAGAGGGATTTTGGCTAGTTATTGATCTCAAACATACTTGTTTTCCTTGTAGGTAACAGCACTTCCCTGGCTATAGGAATCTTTTAGCTGCCTCACCCACTGTGAAATATTATTTTTTTCAAAGAACAATCATTACAATTACTAAGTACTTTTCCTCCCCAAAACATCTTTATACCAATGGCCTCATTTCTTTTTCACACTTTCCATATGAGGCAGGAACAAAGATAATATTATTTTTATTCTTTTTTTCCTTTTTCAAGACAAGGTCTTGCTCTGTTACCCAGGTTGGAGTGCAGGGGTACTGTCGTGGCTCACTGCAGCCTCCTAACTCCTGGGCTTAAGTGATCCTCCCGCCTCAGCCTCCTGAATAGCTGGACCACAGGTGTGTGCCATCACACCAGGCAGAGACTGAGTCTCTCTATGTTGCCCAGCCAGTCTTGAACTCCTGGGCTCCAGAGATCCTCCTGCCTTGGCCTCCCAAAGTGCTGGAATTACAGGTGTGAGTCACTGTGCCCGAATCCAGGTAATATTATTCATATGTAAGAGATGGAGAAACCAAGACTCAGGGAGGAAAAGTGTGTGCCAAGAGCTCAGAAAGTCCATGGAGGGGCTGGAGCCAGGGGCCAGAGGCACTGACTCCCTTCAGATGCAGGCTGCACCCTCACCCCGACCCCACCATTTACCCCCACGCCCCACTTACTGATCCAAGCACACATTGTGACTCCCGCATGGCTCCGCAGCACCCGAAGAACCCCACGGCCATCATCAGGGCCCCGGCTCCAACCAGAACGTAGAGCCCTGTGGGGAAGAGGTCAGAGGAGACCATTGAGAGCCGACCGCGAAAGTGCCTGGCGCTCTGGTGCCTCCACAACCAACTAGGCTCAAGACTCTGGGCACTGCAGAGCATTCTAACAGTACCTAAGGTCGTGCTATTCTTACTGCCATGTTTTACACGGCGGAACTGGGCCCCAGAAGGTTAAGTGATTTGCTTAAGGTTATAGAGCTGGTGTTTGGCAGAGCCGGAAGAAAAACACCCATGAGCCTCAAAAGCCTGCCAAATACCCCGACTCTGTCCTGCCTCTCTAGGGACTGAGGCAGCCATCATTCAGGTGGGGATTTCACTTACTACTTAGTCAAGCCCCAGGTGCAGTTCTTACAGAGAAAGAAAGGGCAGAGATGCTCTGGTTCCGAGAACTAAAGCCAAGCCTTTCTGTATTTCCTTCTCTGATCCTGAGATAAGTTAGAATACAATATGGGACCTGGCACTTGTCTTACTTGAAATAATGCTAATGGCCTCTGTTTCATTTTTTGCAGTTTACTTATATGAGTCACCTGGAAACCACTCCCATTAACAGGGAGGGTGGGGGCTGGTGTCCCGCCTCCCTGGGGAACCCCTGGCCCTGGCATTCGGGGTGCTTCCTGGGGCTCCTCTGGGTTGCTGGTGGTGGTTTGTGGGCAGATCTGGCTGTTCACAGACCTAGTGGGAGCCACAGGCGAGGCTGCTCTGTTTCCTGCCCCACCCAGGCCGAGCCTCAGGGTTCTTTTCAGGGCCACGGGGCCCCGCTCTGCAGTCCTGAGGCGGGTATTTATTTCCTGCTGTTCCAGCTCTGCCACCTCCTCCCTTTCCCTTTTCTCTAAAAGAATAATTTCATGACGGAATGGATGTGGTAATGCAAGAAATGATATCTCATTAAAAACAATAGTGTTGTTGGCCCCACTGCCTAAACACTTTATTGTTTTTAAAAATGTCTTTCACCAAAGGTCTAATATTCAGAATCTATAAGGAACTTAAATCAACAAGCAAAAAGCAAATAACTCCATTAAAAAGTGGACAAAAGACATAAACAGGCAATTCTCCAAAGACATACAAGAAAGCAAGTAACACACATGAAATAATACTTGTCATCTCTAATCATCAGAGAAATGTAAACCAAAACCACAGTGAGATACCATCTCACATCAGTCAGACTGGGTTTTGATCAAAAGTAAAAAATAACAGATGTTGGCAAGGCTAGGAGAAAAGGGGACACTTACACGCTGTTGGAAATGTAAATCAATCCAGCCACAGCAGAGAACAGTCTGGAGATGATTCAGACAACTGAGTTGAACTACCACTTGACCTAGCAATCCCATTATTTGGTACATACCCGAAGGAAAATAAATCATTCTACCTAAAGGGCACATGTTCATTGCAGCACTATTCACAGCAGTAAAGATGTAGAATCAACCCAGCCCATTGTTGGTAGATTGGACAAAGAAAATGTGGTACACATACATCATGGAATACTATGCAGCCATAAAAAAGAACAAAATCATGTCCTTTGCAGCAACATGAATGCAGCTGGAGGCTATTTTCCTAAGCAAACTATCACAGGAACAGAACATCAAATACCTTATCAGTAGGAGCTAAATATTGGGTACAGATGGATATAAAGATGGGAACAATAGATACCGTGGCCTACTAGAGGGCACAGGGGTTGAATAACTATATGGTACTATATTCATTACCTGGGTGACAGGTTCAGTCATAGCCCCAACCTCAGCATCACTCAATATACCTTTATAACAAACTTGCCCACGTACCCCCGATGCTAAAATGAAAGTTGAAAAAGAAAAAAAAGTCATTCACTGTGTTGCAATGTTTTCAAAGCTCTTTCACTTCTATCATCTCACTGGCTTCTCAAAACAACCTGGTTAGGTAATCGAGGCTCATTATTTCTGTTTTACAAATGGAGGTTTGAGAGGCAAGATGGCTGCAGGCAGGACGCCCTGGCTGGCAATCCCAGTTCCCATTCCACACTCTATTTGACCACCCCACGGAAACAAGCTGAATGCAGGGTGGCAGCCACAACACCGCATTCAGCTCCTTGACAGAATGGCCCCTGGTGGACCACCTTGCTGCAGAAAGTGCCCATTGCCACATATTGCTACTGCCACAATTGCTAAGTGAGGCCGTTTGCAGACCTACCAGGAAGTCACAGCCTACAGACCAGTCCCTTCAAAATCCTTATCCAGCCTATGCTCCAGCCACCTGGGAATTCGCGGTGATCTGACTGTGCCCTGCTCTCTTCCGTTTCATGCTTTTGCGGGTTCTCATATTAATCTCTCATTATAGATTTCAAGTCGACAAACAAACCTTATTCATCCTCTCTAGAATACTCCCTGCACAAGGCAGAATTCTTGGTCAGTGTGTAATGGATGAGTAGGTGAGACAGAGAAAATCAAATCAGTTCCAGGCTGGCTGGCTGTCACCACCCATCTAGAGATACATGCTGGAAACACATCTCAGCAAACATCTATGAAGCAACTACATAGCTGGGCTCTCCAAAGCCAAGCACTTGAGGATGGTTGCTTCACCCCCCAAGAAACCCTGGAATACAGGAAAGAGGGAGGCTCCTGAGAAGGTGAGAGTGTCAGTGGACAGGGGCACAGATCTTTGAGGAGGCCAGAGTTGCTCCACACTGTAAAGGAAACTGTTGGGTCCCTAAGGCAACAATCCTTATCCTTCTGAAATAATCAGCTTTTCAGGAAAATTTGGTTATTTGAACAATATTTCATTCTTAGGCTCTCGGAATCCCAGAGCTCACGGCAAAACAACCTGAAGCTGCCCTCGCAGCTTCAACTTTGAGGCCTCTTCTCGGCAAGCCTCTGTTTCGTATGTGTGAGCACGTGACTCTGTCCAGCTCCAAATGAGCATTGCTTGCTGGAGTTGAAGGGAAAAGCAAGAGAAACTCTACAAGAGGCAAAGTTCACTGGGCCTGCAGGATCCAGTTCCAAATCCGGCTGTAATACTCTGCATGCCAAAAGGCCACCTGTGGCTTCCAAGGATACTTTATGCTTTTTATGGTCTTCCCCTCAAAAAATAGCTGCTGAATGTAATTAATTAATTTACAGCCACATTTTAAATTCTATGATAGTTTCTGTAGAGCCCTCTCCTTCCTACAGGAGCAGGTGTGACAAACATACGACCTACTTCCCAAATCCCTCACGCCTACTCCCCTTTTCTGAGTACTATTTCCTTTGATCTGAAAAATAGAAAACACTTTGAAATTACATTTTCATCATTAGTAGCCGCACTTTGGGATGCCAGTGATCTCTGTGACATGCTACCACAAGTACTTTCCCTGGAACACCTTCTATTTAAAAAATTTTAAATTAAATTTTTGTATTAATGTTTTACTGACATGTACTAGTTGTATGTATTTTGGGGGTATAGGTGCCATTTCAATGCATATATACAATGTATAGGGATCAAATCAGGGTCTCTGGGATACCCATCACCTCAAACACTTATTTTGTGTTGGGAAATTACAATTCTTCTTGTCTAGCTACTTTGAAATATATTAAAATTATATTGTTAAATATAATTTCCCTACTGTTCTATAGAATACAAGAATTTCTGCCTTCTATTTAACTCTATTTTTGTACCCATTAAGTAGCTTCTCTTTATCTCCCCACCCTACCCTTTGTGGACTCCAGTAACCACCAATCTACTCTAGACCTCCATGCGATTCACTTTTTTTTTTTTATGAGGCAGTAATAATTTTAATAAATTTTTTCTTACAGTTTTGAATAGGTATTATAGAAGTTTACCGTACTCAAATGATACTTGTCAAATTTATAACTTTGACTTACATCAAAAAACAAATGCTCTTTTAATGGCATAGTGGTAGGAGTATGGCAGAAGTCCTTTTTTTAAGTGCTATGACACAGAGGGAAAGATGGTATAGTGCCTCTAAAATGCTAAACATGCTATAGTGCCTCTGAAACCTGGAACAACAGTGGACAGAGATATGTAGTTTTCCCTTCCCAACTGATATATGTGATATATTCACACAAAAAATGATGATAAATAATAATATAGGTATAGCTAAACGATGTAACTATCAGAAGCACACGGAAACGTAACAATTAAGAATGGGTCTGATAAATGTATGAATGACTATGTTTATACTCCTAATGTTTGTCTGTTGGTCAGTTGATTATGATTCAGGATATAGTTTTCCATATAAGAATTGCGATCCACTTCTTTAGCTCCCACATGAGTGAGATCATGTGATCTCTGCCTTCTGTGCTTGGCTTATTTCACTCAACATAATGTTCTCTACTTCCATCCATATTGCTACAAATGACAGGATTTCATTCTTTTTGTGGCTGAATAATATTCCATTGTGTCTATGTACCACACTTCCTTCATCCACCCATCTGCTGATGGACACTTAGGTTGACTCCATATCTTGGCGATTGTGAACAGTGCTGCAATAAACATGGGAGTGCACGTATCTCTCTGACACACTGAGTTCCTTTCTTTTGGATATATACCCAGCAGCGGGAATGCTGGATGATAGCTCTGTGTTTAGTTTTTCGAGGAACTGCCACACTGTTCTCCATAGTGGCTGTCCTACTTATATTCCCACCAGTAGTACATGAGGCTTCCCTTTCTCCACATCCTTGCCAGAATTTGTTATTCTTTGTCTCTTTGATAATAGTCATTCGAGCTGGGGTGAGATGTGGAACCTGTTCCCAGGTAATTCCATCACTTTTTTCTTAGGTTTTGGATTCTTCTTTTAAGCTAGAAACATCATTTTCTTTAACATAAAAATGAGAGAAAGCCTCCTAATGACCTCCTGGCATAAACTCATTAAAAATGGTTCTCCCCTTTTAGGGACTGGATGCGGTGGTCACCAATTTTAATGGCTTTCTAGTAGCAGATGGTTTTACATAATCTGTTAATGACTATTTTTTTATCTAAAAAAATTTTTATTCCCCTACATTTTAAAAACTCTTTCTCCCTTCCA